ACACAAAAGGCCCGAAGCATTCAAACACTTAGTAGGACACAATAGAGAAAAATGATTTATGTACCTTACCCCACTCAGTGGGATAAAATGCCTGTTGTTATTGTACCACCATCTAAGATTACATGACAGGAGTGGAGTGAGGTGAGGTGGGGTGGGGTGGGTTCGATTGTGTGTTACTCATACCATGCTAGTTGACCAAGGCTTCCCTAGAATGACTCTTCAAGAAGATCTTTTTGCGAGAAATTGTTCTAAGTCATTGGATCACAATAAGGAATATTGATTTTGACATAGTTTGCTTCATAATATATAGACTTTCTACGATTTTATCAATAAAAGTGTTATATTGTTTTCATGTAGATAAATAATATGTTATAAAAATGGTTGCTTATCATTATCATTCTATTATAACTTAAATTTGATCAATAATTTTTCTCACAATATTTTTATTAGTGTATCATTGGAATTTTGATTTAACTTTATATGATGGCATTATATATATATATATATATCTTGATTGGGGACTTTGTTAGTACAATTGCCTTGTTATCTCACCACCACTAAACTACTATTTGTCGAGTGTTGGTAGTTATCTAATAATGCACTAGGATGTTCGATTGAGCCAAGCTAGGGATGAGATTGTTGTTCACTACATAATCAATAAAAGACATGACATGATGAGTCTGTTATTGATATGATTATGTTGTCACACCCCAACTAACCCTCTTAGTCGGGTCAATCGTGTTACAAGAGGGACTGACAATTTGGTCAGCACTACTCTCACTAACACTCGTCTTGAGTTGTATAATCAGGACCTAGTGGATAATGAATTAATATAATTTGATCGTCACAAACATATATGATACATTACATTTCATAATTCATTCACATGCATATTCAAAAGCATGAAAATCATATAATCTAAAGTATGAAAGTTATACAGAGCTGTTAAATCCAATGTAATAAAAGTACATACTCAAAACATATGTATAAGCTTCCAAAATTATCGTGCAAAAACTATATAAAGACACACCTGGCTACTCCCCCGGTACTCACTACCCTTACTTAGAAGATAACAATAAAGAATGAGCAACAACGAACTCAGAGAAATAATCAAGGTTAATATAAGATTTTCTATATGAAAAAATGAGCGTGCACATTATTCAAAACTGTACATGTCTACACACACAAGTAGTAACATGCTAGTATGGTAGAGTATAAAACAAGAGTAGATAATATAAAAATTAAGACTGAAGAGTAACATGTAGGTCGTAGCATAAAATTATAAATTTAATAAAAAGCGTATTCATAAGCATGTTCATAGATTGTTTATCGTATATAATCATATTAATATCTGTTCATAGAGGTCATTTCATCTTAATGTCACTTGAAAATATATAGGCTCAACTATCAATAAAGGTTGGCTTTCCCTAAACATAGTAGTTATCAATAGCCCATTGATACCCATCGTTCCCTTAGTTTTGTCACCGCCTATTTCCAACGGTTCCCATAGTTTCATCCTCGTATACATATCAAAAGTTGAGAATATTGCATTGCTGCGTAATATACTTGCATGCACTCATGTATTCATTATGACATTTAAATTAGTATTTTTGTATCAAACATTTATAAGACATTACATATATCATATGCATGAAGCATAATAAATGAACACCTGCAGGGAAATCATATCATAAGCATTGTAATTTGTAGCACTGCCTCATCATAACATTGCATATATCGTAAAAATAATAAACATGCATTCATACATTCAATTGCAGGTATCCATTCACAATATGCAAAAATTCTAAATGCATTTGTGTCAAAATAGAAATCATATAAAATGTATAGAATATTATTTTTCTTAAATTAGTACAAGATTATTTCACTTGACGGAGTAGTCCTACGACGAGTGTCAACACGCTTGTCTCGAGCTCTCCGCCTTGTATACACAACATGAGAATTCATAAACATCATAGAAATTCTTAAATTTTGGGCTCCCATCATGATTAACCCAAAAACAAACATTAAATGCTAAAATATACCTTAAATGGGCTTCTCAACATAAATTCACCCTTCTGAAACAGTTTATTTTACTTTTCTCTCCTTCCTGTCACCTCAAACCATACTTCTCCACACTGTTTTCATGCTAAGACCTTTTTCAAAAGCTTACAAATCAATTACGACACTTTCAACGCAAAATCAATGCCTCAGGCTGCTATTGGAAAGGAAAAATGCATAAAAAAACGAGCCAACAGTCAAAAAGGAAGTGAGGGCAAGGAAATGAAAGTCTTAAATCGCATGAGAGAGAATTCGTGATAATATAAATCTCCCTGGAACCTTGGATCGTGCTCTGTGGCACTCGTCTCCCCGTCGATTCTCTCCAAACGGCGAGATCGAAGAGGGGGATTGTGTGAGAGGAGAAATTCGGTTGAGGGAGAGGAAATCGGGAGGAGAGAAATATGAAGCTCAGGAGACCCCGAATCGAACTAAATATGGAGTGATATGTCAGATGTGAAGAGTGCTCATGTGAGACTAAGGGATGGATTAGAATTAATTAAGGTTTAATTAAATTAGTTAATCTAATAATTTCAATATTTTATATCTCCCAATCCGTTAATAATTCACACATGATATCTTATATGGAATTGATCGATTTTATACATATACTTTTATTAAATTATTTCGATCAAATTCTGGAAGATGAAAAATTTGAGGTACTTTTCCAAAGTGCTGAACTTCACTTGATTTTTCAAAATTTGGGTGCTACATATGTAATGTTTAGGTGTAATTAAAGATCAAAATACACCCCTGAATTTATATGGCCCCAAGTTCTTCACATTTTATACATTTTTAAGTCCAAAATCATATAGAATTCTATAGCTCTAACCATTTCATTGAGCACCGACTTATTGTTCTAGTGTTTTTGGATCCTTTTTATCTCGCCAACTAAAGATCACTTAGTTTTTCCTCTTTATTCAGGAGTAGAACTACCCTATTTGCCTTCAGTTGGTCATTCATTCTTATATTCTATGCTTACCATTGATTTTAGGTCATCCTGCCCACCCTCTTTCATATAAGAGAAGGGTTTATCTTGCATCAGGATTGTCGCATTCACTTCCTTCAGTCAGGAAAAGATTGTGTATAGAACTTACAATTTTTTGCGCACTATGTCATTCAATGCACCCCGTGCATGAAGGAGAACAGTTGTATTGATTGTTTCCAATCGTCAGGTAACTCCTAGTTCAATTGCACTTTTTCTATGAGGGGACAATTCCTGACTTCCTTTGTTGTTTATTGAATTTGGGTCATTTAATTCTCCTTCTTTTAGTAGAGGGACTGTCTTCAAGTGCTTGCTGACCCTCTGGTTGCTTAGTCTCCATTTCTTCCAACACAGGAATTATAAATCAATGACAACTCTTACGGATACTCTTCATGGTCACTTCTCCGGGAAGACCAATTTGGCAATCATTAGTAGCCTGAATGATCTTTATGTGAAATCGTTGTTGCATTCAGGCTATGCATTCTCTTACTCCAATGGAGGATTGATCTAGCCATCTTTTGCAATGTACAGCAGCTTTCTACATCGTCTCTGTCACTTTTAGAGCTTGCCATATCTATTTCCTAGGGAAGACTGGTTTGATTGCCTTTAGTAGTCTTCATTACCTTTTCAGCCACTTTGTCACTGCCTTCAATTTGTGCCATGTCTATTTTCAGAAGAGGTCTAATCCTACTATTTTCACTGGCTTTCTACCTTGCTCTGTTTGCCACCTTCCTCTCAACCTCTAGGAGGACATTGAACAATAAAAATTTCGCTCAGAACATCAAGGGCCCATGAGCGACAACTTCTATCGGAGTCAAGAGAAATGTAGCCTTAGAATTCATCCCTAGAAGTTTAGGCCTTGTCTTGTGTTATTAGAGAGAAGAGAGAGACAAGATTGGGGTGAGAGACCTAGTCGAAAGTTGGAGATAAGGAGAGAGAGAATTGTAGATGATTTTGGAGGAAATGACTTGGATTTTAATTCATGCTTAAATCATTACCATTTTTTTATTTAAGGTTACAAGTTTTAATTGAACAATAACAGTGATAAACCTTAAAAAAGTTATAAGCTATTACTTAAGCTAATGGATAAGATACCGACTTATCTCTATACTAAACTTTCAAATTATGGATGACTATCCCTTGAAATAGGGCATTCCATAATTTGCTCCATGAAAGGTGACCAGCCTTGAAGTTATGAAGGATGAATTTTTGTGAAAAGTATCTTAGAATATTATTAAAACTTTTATATTAAAATTTTTCTCTTCTCTATCTCTCGCCAACTTCATTTTCATTTTGTAATTTACAATTTAGTTCCTTCTCTTTGAGTAATTGTACTTTTAACCTTTTAGTTGTAAATTCTGCAACTTTCTTAAAAAGTCTTTCGAGTCATAAATCATACTTCCGAGTGCTTCTATTTTATTTTCCCATGGTAAGCAATTTGCAGTTTCACCAAACCATGAATGTAATGCAAGGTACCCTATGCATATTGTTGTTCATTCTCAATACACATAAGCTGGTATCTTTATCCGAGCATGAGTGCTATGTATTGATTTGCTCACTTAAACTAGTCTAACTGTACTTCTCAACTATTTTGAGATTCTGGTGAATCCATGTTTACTATGGAATAATCATTATTATCATGATCCATCCGTAGCTTTCTCGTGAAGCTATTAGATAGACTTCCTGATGTTTGAAATTGTTCTTTTCCTTTTTATTTGGTCGCTGATTGTTCTTGCTCGATAGCTTGCATGTTTTAATGTGTTTTCTTCTCAATGGATAGACATGTAGTTTTATTTCTTGCTTAAATTTCCATCATATGATTACATTTTGAATTTCTGATGGAGGTGCATATTATGATTCAATATCTTGCATTTTCAATGCATGTCCAACTAGGAAATCAATGTTGCATATCTTGTTGAAATTTGTGTAACACGAACACTCTCATTTGACACTCTTCTAGGTTTGTGGGGACACCATTTTTTCATTGTATGGTAGCAAGATCCCAAAATTCTTCTTCTTCCATTTCTGTTATTATTGATCCTGAAACAATTCTTCTGCCGTACTTCCTCACTGCTCTACATTGTGCTTACGAGCTTGATCGTGACTGGTTTCTAGTTTCCATGATACCAAACGTCTCAAAGTTTCCTTTTAGAATGGACGACACTGGTAAACACTGGCTAAAGGAAGATGGTGCAATTATAGGAGTTGGGAAGGTACAAAGAAGTTATCTTACTTATAATTAAATACTGAATTCTGGTTTGGTTTTGTTATCATTGCACTGTATTTCCACCAGATTCAGGAATATACCCTTAAGGAAGTACAATGGAGCAACTGTGGTGAGACGCTTCTAATGGCTTGGAACATGGGAGAGGTACCACTTTATGCTGGGATTCTTCCTCCTTTCTTACACGGGAAAGGATTCCACAATTGCTGGCTTTTAAATGAAGTGCTGTCATCAGAATTCAGATTAGTCATTGATGCCAGTTACATAGCAGCTGCATTCTATCCAGAAAATCGAACCCCCCGTTGTAAGAGGAATATCTCATTTGATGCTGGGAATGATGGTTGGGAAGTGAAAGGGAATCATCATCTTGCTACATCATATGGATCATATTATTCTGGAGCACAAAACAAGCTGATCACAGATCTTAGTTTTATAAAATGTTCTGGAAAAAATATTCTTTTTGATTCAGTGAAAAAGGTTGTTTTCTATCATGAAGTATCTTGCAGGCATCCTTTTGGTTTCAAGCATGGGATGACATTCTCACTTGAAAGGTTCCTTCACTTCGGGATTCAGCAGAAATTAGGACGTTGCATTAAGGATTTAAGTTTCTTTGGAAGTCCATGTTTTCTCAAGAAAAAATATGAGATTGCTTTTACAAAACTACTGACATTATCCAATCCATTCGATTTGGGATCACTCCTTCAGATCAATGCAGACAAGGATAAAACAATTGTTCTTGCAGTTGCTGGAGACAACTACAGGGACATGCTTATGAGTTGGGTTTGCCGATTACGTTACTTAGCTGTATCAAATTATATCGTTTGTGCTCTTGATGCTGAAACTTATCAGTTTGCACTCTTGCTGGTAATGTTGAATAACAAAATTTTGAAAATATCAGCTGTTTGATCTCTCATGAATTTTTCATTCAATGTGGACATCTGATGGATATTTCTCGTTTTTTTTTTCAGGGCTTGCCTGTTTTCAGGGATCCACATGCACCAAGCAATATTAGCTTCAACAACTGCCACTTTGGCACTGATTGTTTCCAGAGAGTGACGAAAGTCAAATCCCGGATAGTTTTGCAGATACTGAAAATGGGATACAATGTTCTCCTAAGTGATGTTGACGTGTATTGGTTCAGCAATCCCTTGACATATCTCCTATCATTTGGTCCTGCTGTTTTGGCGGCACAATCAGATGAATATAATGAGATTGGTATGCTTTGTTCTATTTTCTAGCAGGTTGAATAATTTTGTTGGTTATTTGGTGTTTTTTCCATGATATATGTTGATATGCATATCGTTTCAAGTACATATAGAACGTGATGCACGTAGGGAATGACTTGCCTCTGCTTCATCAGCATATAGCTTACGACATCCCCGAATTTATGTGCAACTCAATCACATTTTTTTTGCTATGAAGAATGAACGGTTACATAAGACAAATATGATATAGATATGGATATGTTCACACAACATAATCATAAAAAATAGGGTATGATATATCATGTAGATTATGTTATAAATAGTTAATATAAAAAGTTTGTTTAAAACACTTGCTGACAATATTTTCTATTAAAAATTTTACGCAATGAAAAATAATATCATATATATCAAATAAATTCTTTCCATAGAAAAATTAGCATTGGTTTAATTATAATTACATTATAGTAGTCGTTAAGTGTACCAAATTATTAATACCACTGATTTTAGTATTAATCAACAAATATATATTTGTCAGTATCAATATCATGGATAAAATTGCATAATATGAGACACCTCTTCTTTTTCCGAACAAAAAAATGAATCCGTAATGAGCTTTATGCCTCATTAGGTTATTGAGAGTCATGTCTTACATAAGGCGAGACGTGCCTCTTTCAATCTAACAAAAGCATGCACACTAAGAAATTAGGTTTTTCTTTAGGAAATGTTAAATAAGAAACTACACCTGACTTCTAAGCCTCATGCCTGTTCACGCAAGTTACGGCTAGATGCTAGCTCATGTGACCACTCCTCATGACGGTAAGTTACCAGTCTTCTTTGCCACTGTTGCCACAACTGGCAACCCTTTTTGCCACCGCCACCGCCACCTCCTCTTTTCCAAGCTCGCTTCTCCTATATGAAAATTTGTTTATTCATAAATGTAATTTCTTTATTTTATTAATTTATATATTGTTTTAGCCTTTGCATATTTCATTCAAACGTTTTAGGATAAATGGTTTAAAGAAATGATAAAATCGTCGTTGATAGAAAAAACCCAATATGTACTTATAGCGTGCAAGATATTGGATGGAATAACAACACATGTTTATTTCAATTGCAATTAATGCGAAAATATCATCAAAGGGGTGTTACTTGAATGAATTAATACATTTCTGGCTCACAAAAGAATGTGACACCATGAGTCTGTGGGTTTGAAAAATTCTCGCCTTGGCTTCCTTGAAATTAATGTGTTACATAAGGTTTTGAGTCAAATTTTCAGAAGGTAGATGAGACAGTAGATAAGACACTAAAAAAATTTTCCTTTTATTTTGCGAAATTTTTAATATCTAGTATTTGAGGTTTCCTACTAGTGCAAGCTCCTATGGTTAGCTATTCTCCCAATTTCGGGAAAACACTTTTGATTAATGTTATTCTAGAGAGCTTATTGCTCAGCTTATAGTAGCAACAACTTGGATTTTTAGTTTGAAAAATTAATTATTGTAAACATAGAGCGGATGGAATGAGGGATGATGATGAACCTGATCAAGGTCTTATAGTTTCATAGAGAGCTTATTGCTCAGCTTATAGTAGCAACAACGTGGATTTTTAGTTTGAAAAATTTATTATTGTAAACATAGAGCGGATGGAATGAGGAATGGCGATGAACCTGATTAAGGTCTTATAGTTTCGAGTTTCATTATTTTAGTTTGTCATGTTCTCTGGTCTAGGTAGTCAAAGAAGACAGTCAACCCAATTTGATAGGAGGATCTTTGTAGTCATAGGTTTTTTTGTCCAAATGGGCTTGAAAGACATAGGGTGGATGTTTGTCTATGTTGATTAATTTAACTTAATCTCAGCTAATTGAGAGCATTTTTCTCTATTTTTTATAACTTAAAGGGTCAAAAAGTCATTGTAGACTATACGAGCTGGAATTATAACTGTAATATAGTGAAGCCAATTGACCAAAGCACCTGATTTGAGAGCTCTGATGTTAATCACTTCGTTTATGAAATCGACTAGCCAAATCACATGGACAAAAGACTCGGATCAAATTTGAATGACATGTCCTTTTCTAACAAATAACACAAAGGCTTAATGATCTTAGAAAAATTTTTAATGTATCGACGGTAAAATCCGGCATGCTCTAAAAAATTCTTAATCCCTTTCACTAAAGCGGGAGGTACAGTTTTTCTATCGCCTAAATCTTGGTTAGATCTACCTCTATTCCCCTCTCAGAATCTTAAGGCACAACACCATCCCTTCGATGACCATGAATTGACATTTCTCTTAGTTCAATACCAAATTGGTCTCCTTACATCTTTGTATTACTATTGCAAGATTTTTTCAGGCATGAGTCGAATGAAGTGCCAAAAATAGAGAAGTCATTCATGGTGATCTCTATCATAGTCTCAATCAAGTCAAAAAGTGGACATCAGGCAGTGCTAAAATGTGGCTAACACATTGGAAAGTCTAAAGGGCATCCTTATAAAGGCAAATGTCCCATAAGGACTAGTGAATGTGGTATTGTCTTGGTCCTCAAAGGCTATAGGGATCTGATTGTAACCTGAAATAGCCATATAAGAAGTAGTAGAAAGGGTGGCCTGCTAATCTATCCATCATCTGGTCAAGAAAAGTCCATGTGGTTGCGTCGAGCCCTTATAGTCGATATAGATCGTCCAGTGACAGTTCAAGTAGGTATCAACTCATTTCTCTCATTTTTCTCATTTTATACTACTTTCACTCCCAGTTCAAGTAGGTATCAACTCATTTCTCTCATTTTATACTACTTTCACTCAACTCATTTCTCTCATTTTTCTCATTTTATACTACTTTCACTCCTCGCTTATTGAGTACACAAGTGAATTGGGTTTACACAGACACTATCTGAGATGAAGAAGATTATACCTGCATCTAACCACTTCATAATCTCTTTTTTCACCAACTTCTTCATCACAGGGTACAGTCAACGTTGAGTTCATATTCTTCCTCCATCAAAATCCTATGCATGCATAGGGAAGGGCTTATACATTTTATGTCAGCTATGGTCCACCCAATGGCCTTTTTAAATGTCATGAGCATTCTCATCAACTTCTCTTGCACCTTACTCAGCTCTGCCAAAATAATCACAAACAATACAAAATTCTCTCATAGGTTTGACTACTTGAGGTGATTTGTCAAGGTTTTCAACTCCAACTCAAGGGATACCTCTGTGTATGGAACTAGGGGCTTGGCATTTGTGATTGTGTCTAAGAGCTCAAATCTCTCCCTAAAGGTCCTACGGTTTCCCCCTGACAACACAGCAAATTCTTTTCTATATGTATCAATACAATCCTTAACCACTACCTGCTCTACTGGGTCCACTCATACAATTTTAGCAAATTATCTCAACACTACTCCTTCCACCACATCTCTTCTATAGCACATCATCATCAGGGTCTTGGGGAAATTTTATTGATTTTAAAATATCAAAGGTGGCATCTTAGTCATTAACTCTGATGGCCAATTTTCCTTTCTAAACATTGGTCATTACCCCTCCTATGGCTAACAGACTCGGCCAAGAATCAAGGGTATCTTCTTGTCCTCCTCCATTTTTAGGCCTACAAAATCTGTAAGGATATGAATTTGTCCACTTTGACCAACACATCTTTTATGACTCCCATCAGATAGACGAAGGATTGGTCCGTTAACTGTAGGGTCATATTGGTTGGTCGGGCCTTTTCTAATTCTAGTCTCTTTAATATGGATAGTGGTATCAGGTTTATGCTTTTACTCTTAATTCACAAAGGGACCTCCCAATAAATTTTACTCCTATGACACATAGGATGGTGAAGTTACCGGGGTCGTTCATCTTTTGGAGCAACTTCTTTTGCGGTATGACACTACACTACTCATTCAGGGTCACTGTCTCAAAATTTCCTAATTTTCTTTTCTTGGTCAACACATTCGTCATGAACTTGACATAACTAGGCATCTGCCCTAGAGCTTCTGCAAATTGGATGTTTATGACCAACTTCTTAAAAACCTCTAGTAACCTAAAAAAAATATTGGTCTAATTTTTGCTTCTACAGCCTCTGGGAAAAAAGTGGTGCAACTTTCTCAGGCTCCTTCCTAGAGGGTGATGCATCACTCTCTAAGTCTTGGTGGGTAAGGCTTTTTTTTGGTATCATTACAGGTCTTCTAACTGATTATAGGGTTAGCTTGAAGGCTCCCTCACTGCTAATTTTCTATCACTTGGATGTTATTGTTTCATTGAAAATTAGGGAAGTTCCTCCAGCTAGGTTTATAGGTGTTGGAATAAGGATTGTTCTTTCTATTCCCTATGACTTTAAGGGCTTCTAAGGTTCTGGTGCTAGGATCTCCTAATGATCCATACCTCATCTCCTCACTTTGTAGGGATCCTGTCTCTGAATTTATCCCGACAGTGTCTAACTCCCTAGAAATTACAGATACTTGAGTGACTATAATAGTCAGAACACCAAAATCATGCACAGTAGCCATGTTTTTTACGATAACTCACGTAAAGGGCCATTAGAAATTATTGGAGGTCATTTCTTCATTCAAGTTATTTGTCTCCTCAAGGGGTTTGTACATTAGGGATCCCACAACTGCAACTTTTATTGTGGGCCTTAAAAAACCTACAAGCCTACTGCAAAAGCTTGGATAATAAGCCAATCGGGCAAGGCATAGTGTGGACTCTTCTTAAGAAATTCCTTGAACCTCTCCCAGGCCTCATAAATAGAATCTCCATCTATATGGGTGAACGAGATAATGTCATTCCTAAGCTTGGTATTATTAGATGGTGGAAAATTTTTGACCAGGAACGTTTTTGTTAAGTTAGTCCAAGTGATAATGGATCTTGGGGTTAGGGAGTTTAACCATATTTTGGCTTTGTCTCTCAAAGAGAAAGGGAAAAGCCTTAGTCCAATGACACCTCTGTGGAGACCGTTATACCTAAAAGTAGCATATAATTTTAGGAATTTTGCTAAGGAAAGTTAGTCATCTGTGGATAATCCCCAAACTGATTGGTTTGCACTATTTGGATTATAACTGGTCTCAGCTCAAAGTTGTTGGCCTCTACAATGGGTAGTTGATGCTCATATTGATCTCTTCTAATAACAGGTTGACATACTCACTGAGTGGCTTCATGGTATTATCCCGGGGTTGGTTATCTCTAAATGTGTCTCTTGCAGTGTCTTTACTCTCCTAAGTTTTCTAAAGATTCACTCGATTTCACGATCAAAGGGTGCTAAAGTGGGTGCTCCAGTCCTCTGCAATGGGTAGTTGATTCTCATATAATTCTTTTTTACTAACGATTTGACATACTCACTAAGTGGCTTCATTGTATTATCCCGAGGGTTGGTTATCCCTAAAGGTGTCTCTTATAGTGCTTTTTCTTTCCTAAGTTTTCTAAAGGTTCACTCGGTTTCACGATCAAAGGGTGTTAAAGTGGGTGCTCCGGTCCTACACTTATACTAAGTGTTGACGGACAAGTGATCCTAAACTAAGTTCATACACACACATGGCTTCAATCACTCATACACAAGTCTTTCAGCAAACAACGTAGACTCATCAAAGAAACAATGCAAGTGTAATATAATAAAGCACAATGCAAAAAAAGGAATAGAAAACAAAAAATATCGAACCTAGACACTCAGTTATTCAACTATTGTTCTCTTAGAATCACAATATTTATTAACGTCTTTTTCCTACAATGACACAAAAAAATTTGATGACCGAAAAGTTGTTGTGAGATAAGTTGGCTAAGAACGCAGGTGTACCTATCAAATAATATACAAACTTTTAAGTCCGCGCATCGATTCCATTAGAAAAATATTTGAAAATATTCTGATAGGTGAATCTCTAGTTTACAACCTACGGAACCTAGTTTGACACAATCACAATTGCAAGAATGACGTCCTCTAATCATATGTGAAACAATTATTAAATCAAACAACAGATCAGGAAACAACTAGAAGCATGAGTTGTGTCTTTCAGAGGAGATGAGACTCATACTTTTGTTACTCAGGTATATTGTGTTTTCATGGTCCTTTTGAGATTTCTTCTATTATAGTTGCCAATCAAGGAGAGTTGTGTCTTTCAGAGGAGATGAGACTCATACTTCTGTTACTCAGGTATATTGTGTTTTCATGGTCCTCTTGAGATTTCTTCTATTATAGTTGCCAATCAAGGGCAAAGTTCTTCTTAGCCTATGCGCAGGTCATAGGAAGAGTTTGAAATCATATTATGGTTAAACGAGACTTAAGCATGCAGCATTTCCTAGAACTCTTCGGATCTCCCATTTAGGTTGAAAAACCCTACTAACAATATACATATTCCACTAGGTTTTCCTGTGGTAATTTACTCATTCCACCATACAACAGTTAGAAATCCTAGATCATAAGTGTTGTAAATATCCTAACTGACCAAATTAGGAGTAAACTAAGTGCAAAAGGTTCACACAGTAACATGCTTGCATTAACAATGCAAAAAACATATATGGAGAAATCACACACAAAAAATCATGAAAAATAATCGAACCTTACATCACAAAATGATTAAAGAAACTTAGCTACGAGACATGAGATGAGAAAACGATAAACAATTCATCAAAATCATTGAAGAAAGTATACTAATGTAAAAACTTACATCCATAGATTTTACATGCCACACCATTAATGATTCTCACTGTATAACGAATTTGCTCTGCAATCTTTTCCTCACACAAGCCATCCCTCTCTCTGAGAACTCCCTCTCAAAGTATAAAGACATAATTCTAGAAGCTTTTTCCTTTAAGTAGGAAGGAGAAGAACTTTTAAAGCAGTTAAAAAAATATCTCTGCAAAAAAATCTAGCACCTTGCCTCATAAGATTATAGCTAGGTTTCCTCCAAAGGGAAGAAATCTTTCATATTTTTCATTCTGTGTATCGGGTGCGCCCACACCTGTGTCCAAAGCTATTGTGCTGTGTCTGGTACTAGGGTGCTTCGTATCTAGCATAGATGTGCTATCATTTGTTGGAATTGGGTGCGGGTGCGCCGTTAGGAAAGCACGAGTGTGTCAGGAGTTGGCGCGGGTGCGCCCTAGTGGCAGCGTGGTATTCCACTCGCTTTGTCTCACCAGCTTGGCTATGTGCGTGTTCGGTGTGGGTGCACTCTGGTATGGAAGGGGGGCGTGGATGCACTCCATGTCTTGTGCTGGTATGCATGAGGACAATTCTTCATCTGCCAGTCTTTTGGCTCCCAATTTATCTCTTTTTTTTCTCTCCAAGTGTCTTAAACCATGTAACCTACACAACATTACAAAAATACCTTCCCCAAGTTGTAAAACAAATGGTCATAAAATATACAATAAACAAAGGATAACATATGGAAAAATTGTGCATATTTTATCCACATCATATAGCACAATATATCACCCACAAACAAACGGTCAAACAAAAGTTTTAAACCATTATTTGGAGCAATATTTGCGGGCTTACACATCCAAGGTATATGCACAAAAAAGATTTTTAAAGACCTCTACTTTTAATCAAATGGTATGTTTCATTAAATGAAGAGGTTAATTGGGACGATTTTTCATCTTTATGCAAATCATATCCATCCCTCAACCTCAAGGATAAAGTTGTTTTTATTGATAGCGGTGATGATATGAACTTACTAATAACAATTGAACCAAAAATAATGAAAGATAAATATGAGAAATTGCTAGATAAGATGAGAAGGAAGTAGATGAATGCACACAAGCTAAAGAAAAAATAGATGAAGTATTCGAGAAGCGCCTTTCAAGAAGAAAAGAGGGTAAACCAACCTTGTTAAAAGACTGCATAATAACCTATATAATCTTCATTATAAGAACTACGGTACTAGATAATATTGTAAACACTTATGTGTTCAGTTATAAACTAGATAACAAAATCTATTGGAGGATATAAAATAACCTTGTAACATGATTCTTGAGGAGAATTAGAAAATTCTTGATTCATTCCCCCTTCTTCTCATTAGAGTTTGTGTCTACTCGAAATAGACCTTCCTATTTCTTGTGCTCTATTTTTGCCCTAGAAAAATCTTATCATCGTCATCCTTGCATGATCTGTTACAATAGCAATTGTAGTCCGAGAAGTGGTTTACTTTGATGATATATGAAAATAGTAAAATATCAAAATAGTCCCCGACTATTTACATGGGGTTGCTTTAGTCCCAGAGTTTATTGAATTATCAAAATAGTGTCTGGCTATTTTAAAATTGCGCTCTAATATTCTTCCTTATGGACTAGTTCAACTGCAGTTTAAAGAGTTCAGAGACTATTTTTATACTTCTATAAACTTTGAGACTAAAACAACCCCATAAAAATAGTTGGAGAATGAAGAATATTTTAGCACTTTATACGAAAAATCATCTTTGGAAAAAAATAAACATTGGAGTTGAAATACATGAAAGATCATAAGAAATTCCGAATTCCAAAGTATGCATAGGGTGAGAAACGTAATAATGTAATATATATAT